CAGCAACGAAGTTAGGGTTTATCTCCTGCAATTCTAATTAATCACAGACATAGGCGATCATTATCAGATAGAGAGAATCAAACAAAGCACACGGATGATCATGATCGCAGTGAAAATCAAAATCAGTTTTCTAGAAAAGGCCTCTCGTAATCACAGACCTTTTTGAAGTCAGAGACTACGATCTTTGTGAAGAAAGCTATGGAGAGGAACCTTAAATATCTCTTGAGAGATTGAGATAACAGAGAGGAGAGTGTTTAGGGCTTTTAATCTCCAGAAATCACATAGATACAAGACTATATGATATCTCTATCTTATGCATATTTATATATCCCTAGATAAGTTATCTTCTGCGGATGTGCCCACGGTACTTTCAATGTGGGGAAAAGGTTGATTAGATCTGATGGTTTATATTAGTTGAAAGAATATCCGACGGATGAGTGTTTTGTAAGTCGTTTCTTTTCCAATTTTGGGATCAGGGTGTTTAGCACCGCCTTATGTGATTAAGTGTGCCACGTGTCGTCATTAACAGTTGTAAGCCGTGAAATTAATCAAAAAGAGTCTTTTCCATTTTTCCACAAATTAATCTATGTTTATGAATTGTGATTAGTCATTTCATAGCCTAATTAATTATTTTTTATATTAAGTCTTTTACTTTTTGTATAAGACGGTGTAGTCATGAGATTAAATTATAAACAAACACAACAATTCTTCCGCCACCTAAATCTAACTGAATATATTTATCGGAAGGAAAGTAATAAAATCATCAGTATATATTCATAAAATTATTAAATAAGATATTTAAAAGAAAAATGAACTAACAATTTATTTTAACTAATTTCTCATGATAATTACACTAAAATAATTTTTGGGTGTCCAAAATCTATACTCAGCATTATGAATGATTTAGACGTTTGATCATTTTATGTCAAAAAGTAGATGTTTAACCAGATTGAAATCTAACGTTACTTCCTAAAATCTTCCTTAAATATCTCAATAGTTTCCTTGTAATTAACAGGGAAAGTGACAAAATATATGACAAAACTAAGGGTCCGACTGGTTTCCCCGCTACCACCCGCAAACGCAGCTTTTGCGGTTGATGGCGGTTGCTAGCGTTTTGCAACAATCACAAAAATCGCTACAAATCGCTTCAAACCGCTCTCAACCTCTTAAAATCAAAAGCTGGTTTCAGCTAGCGTTTGCGTTTGCGGGCGATTGCGGGTAGGTAAAAAAACTATTTTTCTTTTAAATTTAAATTTAAATTAAAATATAAAAATAAAAATAATATAACTAAAACTATATCTAGTTTTTATTTTTTAATTTAAATTCACTAAAAATATCATAATCTATTATAAAAACTTTATATCAAGAATTTTCACTATATTTTTCAATATTAAATATATAAATATATAAATATATAAATATATAAATATATAAATATATAAATATATAAATATATAAATATATAAATATATAAATATATAAATATATAAATATATAAATATATAAATATAGAAATATAGAAATATAGAAATATATAAATATATAAATATATAAATATATAAATATATAAATATATAAATATATAAATATATAAATATATAAATATATAAATATATAAATATATAAATATATAAATACATAAATATATAAATATATAAATATATAAATATCTAAATATATAAATATGTAAATATATAAATAAATAAATATATAAATATACATATATAAATAGATAAAAAGATAAATATATAAATACATAAATATATAATTAATTATATTAGAATATTTTATTAACTATAGAAATTATATTTTCATCTAAATAAAAAATAATAAAATAATATTGTTATTACTTATAATATATTAATAGTTATTATTTTTTATCATAACAGTATGTTTTGATTTTTTTATAATGTTATAATATGTTAATATTGGAAATTTATTATTGAACCGCTATAGTATCTCATAATCAACCAGTCATAAATGTCCCGCAAACGTACCAGTTTTTAATCGCTATACCAGTCGTACAATAACGCTAAAAACCGCAACCACCCACATCCGCAAACTCCCGCAACCGCAATCGCAACCGCCGCGTTTCAACCAGTCAGACCCTAAAATTATATGGAAAGCTGCGACTACACCTTCGGAGAGAAGTTATATTTTCAATTAATTATAACAAAATCTAACTTTGTTGACAAAAAAAGATCTTACCATAGATGATGATCTGCTTTGAAAATATATAAATACTTCCTTAAGAAACTTGAGGGCCAAGGAATTCACAATTGACATATCTTTTAGGCTGGATCGACCTATTTTATGTCTCAAGGGCTGACTATACTGGACCTGGTCTACATTTATCCTCTTCTATTACTGATAGAAACTAGGTAAGATAAGGCCTGCAAGCTATGAAGCTCCATGTTACGTACGAGATTAACAATTTCAATAAACTTAGTAATGGTGGCAATAATATACTCATGATTTAACTCTCATCCTTAAACTAGACTTTTGACGACTACAGTTTGTTATGAATTTAATACAGATGATCAAAGAGATTGAAGCAAAATCACTAAAAATTGTTCATACTCAAATCCTTTTAACTCAAAAAGATAAGATCTCAAGAGATTAGAACAAAGATAAATCCAAGAGAAATGAAGACCATAAAACACAAAACATAACCAAAATCTTATATGAGATGATAAAATCATAAGTATTCTTGTTACTGACTGGCTCCGAGCCACTTGGTGAAGTTATCAAACTCTGTGTAGTCACTGTCGGAGATCATAGTCTGGTACCACGCCTTTCCTGCTGCTTTAATCGCTTGTGACTCCTCCTAGAATTAAAAAAAAAAAAAATACAAATGAGTTTGAGAAATGAGTCAGCTTTGGGACCTTAAAGCACCATGTAATAAAAAACCTAAGAAATGTTCAGAATAGAATATGAATGTAACTCTGCAAAACTTAAATCTAAATCAATCATCCAACCATTTCCAATACCAAATCACATCCCAAACACACAGCTTATTTGCAATGCATATGTATTCAACAAGACTAGTACTAGCACAGTAGAGACAGCTCAGCCCAAAATGAAATAATCCATTAGAAATGAAATGCAACAACAACTGAAAGGGATAGAGTGTTGAGATTACCTTAGAGACGGTCTTCCTCTTCTTCTCAAGCTTCTCCTTCTTAGACTTAACCCTCTGCGCTTCAGCCAACAGAGACATCCTCTTCGCAGTCTTAGCATAAGGATTCAACTTAAGCATCACATTAAGATTCTTCAACGGATTCTTCTTCATCACAGCCCTCTTCGCATCCTTCTTAATCGGCTTCACCACACTCTGAACCTCATCAGAGTTAATAATCCTAGCCAAATCCGCATTCACCATCTTCGCACGTGGCAAAACATACCCCTTCTTCATCTCAGACGCCTTCTCAAACGAACCATAAATACCCTCAAGCTTCTCAAAAGCAGACTTAGTCCAAATCACAAACCTACCAAGATGTCCACCAGGCGCCAACTTCAACAAGTTAAGCCTCGTCACGTGACAAAGCTCAACACCAGTAATGTTCCTAAACGCTTTAACAATCTTAGCTCCTTCGGTTCCGTACACAACGAGTGGACCTTTCCTAGAGATATAACGACGGTTCCTCGCTTTACCTTTCCCAGGACGGATCCCAATACTATCTTTCGCCTTCTCCGCGTCATCATAAGCACCAATCCGTTTCAAAACCTTAATCGCAGCGTTAGTCTTCTCAACGGCCTCAACGGAATCGCTAACCACAAGCGGCATCTCGGGGACATTCTCGATCTTGTGTCCACGCGCCATCACGAGCGCGGGAACAGCGGTTGCTGCGATCGCCGAAACGATCGCGTGCCTCTTCATGTTGACGTTGACGCGACGGTGCCAGCGTCTCCAGATCTTCGTCGGAGCGAACATGCGACCGCCGCGACACATGTTTCCGAAGGCCGCTTGGCCCGCGCGGTGAGTTCCGCCGCCGGGGACGCGGGGGATACGGGAGACGGCGCGGCCGGTTCCCCAGGACTCGGCGGAGGTCTGGTGACCGGCTTTCTTGGAGACGGCGTAGGGTTGGCGGCTGTTTTTGGAGATTTGGTGGTGGACGAAGTTGACGACGTCGGGTCTCACGGGTGCGGTCATGACGTCTGGTAGGCAGACGGTGGTGGATTGGTCGGTGGACATGTCGCCGTCGAGGGATTGGACGGAGACGAGGGGGCGTGCGGCGGCGGCTGCCATTTTTTAGGGTGGGAAGAGTGTCCGGGGACTGTGGCTGTGCGTTTAGGGTACGAAGGGAAATGTAGTTAGGGTTTTTGGTGAGTTATATAGCAAATGGTGGACGTATACGGGCCTAGAAAGCCCACAAAAGAAAAAAATTAGATAACGAGTTATCATTTTGTAGCTTCCCCACAGGCCCAAATATTATTCTCATGAGAGATGATCACTTAGAATGGCTTATTTCACTTTCTATTCAAGAGGAAAATGGCTGACATTAGTCTCAGACTCAATCTTGAGATGATATGATAGTATAAGTTAATTGATAAGTGAGAAAATGATGTAAGTAAATTAAATAACTGAATTTCATTTTTTGCTCAAATACCAAATGTAGGTTTTGAGTTGGTATTGGATAAAAATAATTTGATTTAATTAACTTGACCAGTTGAACATTCTGAATTTCACTACGAAACTCTACAACAATCAAACTTTGTAGCCAAGGTATCATCAAATGCTTGAAACATACTATACTAGAAACACTGAACTTAAAGAAAGTATACAGAAAACAGTCATAATAACTGCCAAGGGAGAATTTGAGAGGAAAGGATGAAGCATATACTAAAAATCAATCTTTGACCAAGAATTAGCAGTAACATAAGGTCAATCATCCTTCCCCTATATTGAGAACCATCGATCACTCCTCGTCATCTGAGCTAGCATCATCGCTGTTGTAATCACTGCTACTATCACTCTCCAGAATATCAAGTTGAACAGCTCAGACCTGTATAACGTCAGGCGGTCTATGAAGTCCTATAGGAGGCCGCATCTGTTGCTGCTCCTGGGCTCTAGGTGCAGGAGGTGGCATAGGCCAATCTTTAGGCAATTCCACTGGCATTCCTGGTTTCCATCCAGACGGAATTGCTATATTCGGTGGAAGCAGGTTTTGAATTGCAGAAAGGTTCATACTCTCTGGTGGTGGTGGTGGTGGAAGCTCGATGAGTGATTCAATCTTCTTCTCAATGGTTTCAACGGTTTTAGGTAGACCGATGTTGAGATCAGCGAAGGTGTAGAGCTGAGAAGCTCTCATTTGCTCGTCTTGTGGAGCTGGTGGTAATGCACCACAGAGAGGTGTTTGTCCTGCACCAAACTCGGGTGGAGCAAATGTTGTGTAGCTAATCTTGTGAGCGTAAGCTAAGATGTCCTTTAATTTCAGCTGTGAAGAGACTGTAGTGGTAACAGAGGACGAAGAAGAAGAAGACTCATTTTCATCATCATCTTCGTCTGTTTTGGTTCGTTTTGGTTTGCGGTAATCGGAGTAGTCGTCGACGAGAATATTGAGAACACGTTCTGCTTCTTTAAGCTTGTTGGAGAACTCGAGAAGAGATGAATCTTTGGATTTGACCTCACGCGAGAGCTTCTGCTTCGCGTCTTGGAGATCGAGGATCTCTTGAAGCTCAGTAACGGCTTCGAAGAGCTGTGTCTGGAGGGAATTGAACTGTGAGAGGATATCCTTAGATGAAAAAGGGTTGTCAAGCAGCGAAGGCGGAGATAACGAGTGGAAAGAGAGGAACGAAGGGAGAGAGACACGGAAGGCGGAGAGTCAGAGTGGGCGATTGGGAGATACGTCGAAGAGCTTAGAGGTTAAAACGGACATTTGTTGAAGAAGGGATTGCGCTCGGGGTAAGGGAGGAAGGAGTGATAGCAAAGGAGATGACGCAATAGTTGTCGAGGATGAGGTTGTGGATGTGGAGGAAGGTGGGAGGTTAGGAGGTTGTTGGATCTGTTGGTGGTGGTGAGATTGGGAGGATGAAGAAGAGGTTGGATGGCCATGACGAGATGGCGTTGGATTTTGTACGGCAGGACAGCCAGGACCAGTTAATCCTAATCTCGCCGGAGATTGGATGGTCTGATGCTGTAGCATCCTCGCCGCCGGCGAAACACTGGAGGAGGAAACAATCCAAGAGAGGACGACTTCTTTTTTATGGTTTATAAATCGACGACGGTGGATATCCGGAAGGTGAAAAACATAATAATAACCCACTTCCCAAACCTTCAGAGTGAGCCAGAAGGGTTCTGAAGATCCACTTGAACCAAACCAATACAGTTCAGTATCCCGGTTATCGTTAATGAGAGGCTTCAGTTCAATTTCCCGATTATCATTAAGGAGAGGCTTCAATTCAATTTCCCGGTCACCGTTAAAGAAAAAGGCTTTGAGTTATACTATACAACATATTATGTTTATTTTTATGAGTTTAGTGGCATTTGCTAACTAATAAACATTGCCTTTGGTTTCAATGTATGAAAAAAAACCAAATCGTTGAAAAGTGGGAAAGAAAACTACAAATTACAAAACGCATGATGATTACTACCAAATCTTCAACTAAAGACAATTAAAAATGTATGTACAGTACTCCAACAATCAAATGAGACATTTAATACTAAACATCTCCAATGAACATCTTTTGAACTTTTGAGTAAGTATTGTTTGATAGGTGAGTTGAGATAAGACCTGAAGTCAAACCTACACAAGCTTGTGAGATGTTTGAGAAGTTAATCCTCGAAGTGTCACTCTGTAAAATTTTAGCTTCCAATTGAATAACCTGCAAAAAGACAAAACTTAGATTAGAACCTTCTCTAAAAAAAGAGAGCTATCAACTAAACCAACCTTGTTGTTGGAGTTCAATGTTGGAACCGCTGCATCATAACCTAGTAACGCCATCATTTTAGCATGCATTGTTTTTAGTGTCCTACATACAATCTCATAAGCCATCCAAACATCCAAATTGTTTGCCGTAATAGCTCTTGGGAATCTGAATCTTTCATCTCTAGACATTGCTAACCATGAGAAGAAATTACTGTTGAAAAATATTTCTATTTCTTCGGCGTCTAATGTAAAACTTTTCTATGATCCTTATTAAAAAGAAAAGGCACTGGTTGCTTGTAGCAGTCTCTTAAGCAAATCGCGCATCATGAATTGATACTCTATGAGAAAATGATAAACATAGCTTATGAGATGAGATCCATACTCTATGAGAAAATGATAAACATAGCTTATGTACAGCTGATCCACTTGTATAAATCACCTTTGTGATTTGAAATTTGAATAATAAAATTACAAGACTCCGAATAACAAAAGAGAATCTCTTTGAAGTTTAAGATGAGATCCATATTCTATGAGAAAATGACAAACATAGCTTATGTACAGGTGATGCACTTGTATAAATTACCTTTATGATTTGAATAATGAAATTTATTGTAAAGCTATATTATTTATTTTAATTGAATTCGATCATGTTTTGAAGAAAAATAAATTAACATTGATCAATGCTTAATTTGATTAATATTGGATCCTTTAATTAATTGATTTTTTTCTTATGTTAATTTTTAATCTCTTGTGGTTTTTATGAACAATAACATAAAAAAAATTATAACTACTTTTCTAATATTTTTTCAAGAAATACTCTCTTCCATCAATAATGTCTCCATTTCGTTTAAAATACACAATAGCTAAAGAATATTTTCATTAGTCTCACTATTAATTATAGAAAAAAATTAATTAACTAATAATGCCTATTGTTTTTCAAGCTGTTGATGTTGCTCTTTATTTAAAAAGCGCTAGGAATAAGAGTGTGCCGACTAAAGAAAATGAAAAAAAACATTTAACATGCATTTGTTCAATCAATCAGAGATAACAACATACTATAAAGTTTATCTTGATGATTATATTGCATTTCTAAGAGATGTGGTGTCTAATTATTCGAATTATTTAGATCCGACCAGTCTCATAATAGTCAAGAATGTAGACGATCTGGGTGAGTGACCAATGGCTCAAATGATTTAGATCCAAACCAGTTCTTAAAACCATATCTAATAGAATTTGTTTTTCTTTTTACATTTTATTTTAAGATATATAGTAACTCTATTATAGAGTTGAATTTATTTTAATTATTCATACTATAATAGAGTTACTCTATAGTTTATACTATAAAGTAATTAGAATGAATTATTGGAACAAATTTAATTATATTATTGAGCTATACTACTTGTAGAGAAGAGAGAAAAGTTTTCCATTGGAAATGGTTTAAAAGTGGTGTGTTAAGTGGAGGGATATTGCCACACGTTTACAGGATCTTCGACTTGTTAACCAACCCTACAGAAGCTAAAATCGATCGCGAAAGAATATCTCTCTCTCTATCTCCTGCGATTCACCATGGTGAACAACGGAGGAGAATGTCTGTGGTGAAAATCATCTCTCTTTACCATGTGTCGTTGTTTTATTTGCTTACCGTTACTTCAGAATGGCTTTGTCATGTAAGAAAGACATCATTAGAAGAACTTTGGAGGGAAGAGAGCCTCCTCAGACGCTGAATCTCTGTTCGTGGGACTTGACCTTTACTCAGCGTTATGATGCTCTAGACAGATTCTCATGTGTCTGTAAAAGATTATAAATAAAAACTTTTGTTGATACTTTTGAATCAAGCGCCAGAAAACTTTTATTAAGGGGGAATGTAATGTTTATTTTGACTTCTGATATGCTGCTGCAAGTTGCTTGAGGTTTAAATTTAAACCAGCATTGCCATTGATGATATGTTTTGCATGCAAAGTACCCTCGTGAATGATTTGCATTATTACAGGGATCCATTTAAATATACATTTTCTAAGAAGAACATTACAAAGATCTGACTAGTCTCCTTGCTATCTCATCTCTCTTTTCTTAGCTGCTTCGTTCCATGCAGCTTTGACTAGTCGTCTCCTATTATTCCCTGGAAGATTGGCAAAGGTATATTAACAACTAATTGTTGTTCAACAGAGAGAGGTGACTTAGGCGTGGTGGAGCTTACTTGGCGTGGGAACCCACGATGAACTCGTCTTCTGGTTCAAGCCGTGTAACCGTGGCTGATGGTGAAAATGTTCTGCTACTCTGTATTTGGGCAGCAACGGCCGTAACGTGTTGTTGTTTTTGTATGTATATGGATCTCCATGGAAACTGACTGCAATACTTGCAACAATAATAAACCCGTAAAGACCAACTTACAAAAAATATCATTGCTATTATTATATTATCGTTGTTGTTGTTTTACCTTGTTCTCTTGTAAAATTGAGAAAGACAGGTCTCTCGACAGCATCTTGTTTAAAAAAACCCATATCCACCAGATAAGCCTTCACCGTCAAGTTCCATATCGCAGCAGCATAACCTGACATACACGAAAAAAAAAAACAAAACAAGAAACACGCAAACAAAAATACGAATGGGGAAACTCTTAATTACCAAACTGATTTTGAGTGACTATTTGATCACAAAGTGTATAAAGGCAAATGACTGCATTTCTATTTGTCTCACACATTCTAAATTTAGTGTCTACCAATCCAAAAAACTAGAATTTGTTACTGGTTTTGAGTGACCAAATTGACTGACAAATGTGTGAAGACAAACAATGAAACTTAACGATCATATTGACTGCCCGCTGCATTTCTATTTGTTTTACACACTATAAATTTAGTGTCTACCAATCCCCGCTTATCTAGACAATCACGGTACCGCTTATCTAGACAATCACGGTACCTCTTATCTAGACAATCACGGTTACTGGTTTTGAGTGACCAAATAACAAATGTGTAAAGACAAATGAAACTTAACGGGACAAATCAAAGACTGGACGCCGCATTCTATTTGTTTTACAAATTATGAAAATTTAGTGTCTATCAGTCCGATAATATATAGAATTTCCCCAAAAAAATAAATTAAAAAAAAAACAGAGAAGAAAGAGGATTTACATACCTTACACGGCTGAAAAAGGGGAACCTGGACTCAATCAAATACGGTGGGGCGAGAAGTTCGTTTACTGCGCGCTTCCCGTGAAGCTCAGCTACCTACAAAGCAAAAAAGAAAGAAAGAAAACATCCAAGAGTGCTTGATTAATTCGACAATAAAGTAGAATATGTAATTTGGTTTGGTAAAATTATACTTACTATACATTGTTTATTTATTAAAAAGCTTAAGTCTTAATTGTGATAAATATAAAAAAGAAATGGAGAGCTGACCTTTTTAAATCTTGTAGCCGTCGAGAGTACTAAAACAAACCATTGGAGAAGCAGCTTTAGCAAATATACTTATGTCTGCAAAAGATCAAGAAGGAAACTTTGTTATTTTATACTCAATGATCTATGGCAATTTTTTCAAGATAACTTAAAGAACATTAGCTTGAGTTGAAAATGTTGTGTGCATTTTTATTCTA